GACTGAAACACAGCGAGCACCACAATCCCATCGCATGGCCGCTGCTGACGGATCAGCGTGCTGGATGCCGGCTGTACTGTAAGTAGGTGTGACTGAAACACAGCGAGCACCACAATCCCATCGCATGGCCGCTGCTGACGGATCAGCGTGCTGGATGCCGGCTGTACTGTAAGTAGGTGTGACTGAAACACAGCGAGCTCCATAATCCCATCGCATGGCCGCTGCTGACGGATCAGCGTGCTGGATGCCGGCTGTACTGTAAGTAGGTGTGACTGAAACACAGCGAGCTCCACTACAGATGGAACGGGGTGCCATGGAAATGATTATGCCATTTACAAACCCACCCCATGAAACTGGATGAATATCGCCCTTACAAAGTCATTTTTAGCCCAAATCCATGTGCCCTCCCCCCCACAAACAATCCGTAGCTAGTGCCAAGGTAGATGTGGAAATGAGCGAAGAAGGAATGAAGGCTTATTATTGTTTAATATTGTATAATAAATTCATGCTTGTGGAATAATCGCATAATTGAAAAAAAAATTGACAGCTCTTTTAACAATCTTTGCTCACTGTGAAATATTCTTACAATATTTTTTACAATGTTTTTTTTGTCACACCCTGCTAACCCCCCACATTGTGACAGTGTGCCCCCTCCAAGGCAAAGTGAAATCAGCTGTTTGCTATACCAGGACCCCTGAGAAGCCATCATCCTAGGCAGCCCGCTGACAAATAAAGATTATTTGAGCATATTCAGAATATCATCTTGTGACCCACAGTTAGTGAACCACTAACCTATATGATTAGGTTCAGGAATATAGCAAGTTTATTGAGGTATTACACAGGGTACAGAGAAAGGTCATGTCATGTCAGAAACAATCACTTTACATAACAGAAAATTTCTTGTGCTTTTACCCTCTTATTTACACACGCTGTGTAAACGTCTATTAACTTAAGTAACGTGAATATTAGGTTTGGTCCCCTCAGAGTTTTGTGTGTTATGTTTCCCCCTTGTGGTTCCATCAGGTATTACAATGCATTTATGACCATTTGTTTACTAGTCCCAGATTATAAACCGTGCCCTTTATTGTGTTTTTGGTCTTTTCTTGTCCTCGACTTCATGTGAATGGAATGGGTGTTTTCAGACATGGTTAGAGGTCACAAACTCATGTAGCCATGGTAATTTACAAAAATAAACTGTACAAAGACCTTAGACAAATTGGGTGGGATTGAGAGCTCATTTCCACAAGCCTAAGAACACTATGGGAATGGCGCACTGCAGCAGAACAGGTTCTGAAGGAAATGCTACATGAATGTTCTGGGCCTGGGCTCAGAGGCCCTAATGCATCATCATAGATGCATATTTTCTTTACCCTTACTAATGTCTATACACTCAGTGGCCACTTTGTTAGGTACACCAAGCTAGCACCAGGTAGGGCCCACTTATGCCCCTAAAACCATTTATACTGCGCTGTTATTTTGGCACTTGTGGCCTTCCTGTTAGCTTTAATGAATCTGCCCTCTCCCATTAATAAGGTGTTTTTGGCAACAGAGCTGCCACTGACTGGATATCTTTTGTTAATCATGCCATTCTCTGTAAATTCCATCCATCCATTTTCTGAAACTGCTTAATCCTAGCTGTACTTTATACAGTTAAAAAAGTGGAAATTCAATGAACGTGAAATCACCAATAATGTTTACTAATTAATCCATCCATTTTCTGAAACTGCTTAATCCTAGCTGTACTTTATACAGTTAAAAAAGTGGAAATTCAATGAACGTGAAATCACCAATAATGTTTACTAATTAATCCATCCATTTTCTGAAACCACTTAATCCCAACCTGAGCCTATCCTGGGGACAATGGGCACAGGCAGGAACCAACCCACAGGCAGGACCAATCAACCTGCCCTGCATGCTTCTGGGCCGTGGGAAGAAACCGGAGCCCCCGGTGAAAACCCATGTGAGCACAGGGAGCACAGGAAGGACCCGGAACTGAACCCAGGACCTTTTTGCTGAGGCACAGTGCTAACCACCGTGCCACCATGCCACCCCTCTGTGAACTCTAGAGAACATAATGTGTGAGAATCCCAGGCGGGCAGCTGTTTCTGAGATGCTGGGACCGCGACCGGTATGGACAATCACACCAGGTTTAAATTCTCTTACATTCTCAGCCAGTCTAATGCTCGGCCATGCAGTAGATGAACTCCCTGACCCTGGTTTGCATGTGATTGGCTGTTTGGATGCCCAGAGTGTTCTGCAGCTTTACTGAGATTGGCTGTTTGGATGCCCAGAGTGTTCTGCAGCTGCGGTCATGTGATTGGCTGTTTGGATGCCCAGGCTGTTTAACAAGCAGGCGTACCTAATAAACTGACCACAGACTCTATGTATGTGGCTGTATGTCTGTGCCTCATAGAAATTCTGGCATACAGTCTCTGATTTTGCTCACCATTATTACTCATGAGCTCACAGAGCAGCTTCAGAGCTGGGAGCTTTTCGAGTGAATAAGTCCCAGAAGGTAGCGGCTGCAGGCCTGCTGTCCTTTGCCCATATACCAGGCTGGTCCTTTGGGCTTGGGGTCTGAGTTGCCCCGAGGTCCTCCCCCAGGCTGAAGCAGACAGTCCCCGCCATAGCAGACCCCGCCTCCTCCCTGTCATCGGAGAGTGAGCGGCACGACGGTCGGGCCAGGCTGAGCAAGTTGTGGTGGGAGTGGAACTGGCGGATACGAGTCATGGATTTGCCAAGTCTGACATCAGGGGCATCTAATTAACACCAGGAACAAATTACAAAATGAAGAATACGGAAAATGCAATAATGTCCTTAAGAGATGTTCACCTTATGTCATCATGATAAAACACAACCCCCCCCCACCCCATTCCCGAGAGACGGGCAGACCCCCGGGTCTCTGTGCCACTCACACTTCTGTATCTGGCTGTGCCTCAGCACGCTGAAGATGACCTCGCTGCTCAAGCTGATGTCTTCATGGGGACCCTGGAACTCGGTCACAGTTGGATCCATGGGTGACAGGCTCCCATTGGACAGCCCCGCGGGCTCCGACGAATCCCTGGCAACTCCGCCTCCTCCAGCATCATCATCTGTTGCTGGATAAGTGGTGCTGTTCGGAAGCGGGATCATCAGTGCCCGTACCGACCCAATCTCCAAAGCGCTATGACGGCAGCCGGCATGCATCAGCCCTCACCGCAAAGCTGTCTTACCTGAGCTTCCTGCGAAGGAGGTAGACGATGATGTCTGGGTCTGTCTGTATGAGGCGCACCAGCACCTCCTGCTGGAATGCCACAGGTACCTCAACAAACATTAAGAGACGTGTCACGAAGCCGGCCTCCCACGTACGCTGCCCATAGCCTTGTTTACGTTTTCCCTCTCCTGACCAGCGCAGTCTCCCTAGCAGTACGCCTTTCTGAAGAAGGGCCTCCTTGTTCCAGTTTAGCTCTTTATTCATCTTCGCTACATTGAATGAATTGTACACTAATTAGCAGACTGAGTAAATTACAATGTAATCGCTATACAGAGTCCCCGGGTTACGAATGAGATCTGTCGCCTAAGTCTGTCTTTAAGTCAAATTTGTAGGTAAGTTTGAATAATGATAATTATACAGTAATAATAAAAGTAACTACATACATACTGTACCTCGAACTGTATGTAACCTGAATTTTTTATGTAATAGGCTTTATGGCAGTCTGTGTGACGACGTCGTCCGTAACTTGGACAATCTTCATTTGGAATAATTTCTCCATCATCTTAAATGATTTCTCGAAAACCTGCAGTGTAAATAACATGTAAACCTGCTTATTTATTCTATTAAGGGGACGACATGGCCTAACCTCTCCCCTCTGGTCTGGGAGTTCAGACCCTTGCCTCGTGTGTACTTCCTGTTTGTGTGCACTTTCTCTGGCTGCCCCGTTTCCCTGCAGATAGGTGTGTCCCTGAAATGTCCTTAGTATGCATGTTTGTGCCCTGGGGCAGCCTTCATGTCCTGTTCTTCCGGAGATAGACTCCTGGATCTCTGCGATCCCATACTGGATGGGCAGTTATGGAACATGGATGGATTTCAGCATGTCATATGGTCTCTGTTCATTGTGTTTAAACTGCACACTTGTCCCTTTACAGTGGTTGCATTGTCTACAACAGTTTCTCAGTCTGGTCTTTGGGAACTCACAGATGGTTCTGGTCCTTGGGAACTCACAGATGGTTCTGGTCCTTGGGAACTCACAGATGGTTCTCGCTTTTGCTCCCTCCCAGCTAACATGGACCACTTCGGGGTCCCCGAGGACCAGTTTGAGAAATACTTGTCTACAATGTGCGACTTCATACACTCCTTTAAAGTTTTATACACTCCTAATATTTAGCTTTCAATTAAGCATATGTCTGCTACGTTTTAACTTTTTTAACTATTCTGAATACCAAATCCTTTCCCTTAATTGATCAAAGCAAGTGATCGAGTGGCCTACATCTTGACTATGAGGCAGAATATTCAAAATACCCCACATTTAGAACCAGGCCAGGAATTCAACCCATTTCCTGGGAGATCTGAGGGTTACCATGGTAGCATTACATAGTCTCTAAACAAAGGTTTTGTTAGCACTTAACACTGTTTTTAATTTCATCTGAATTTGCAAGATTCTTTGATGTGCAGATGAATCAAGAATGATTAGCTATGATCTACAATGAAAATTTAGATCACGCATGAGTTCACCAGGTGACTGAGGACATAAAGGAATTGGAGCAGTTTCCTTAATCCTGGTCCTGGAAGGCTACAATGCAAGCTGGCTTCTGTTCTCATTCAACACTTAATTAATTAGCCTCGACTTAACTGTTAATCAGTGGTGGAGGAAGTACTGAAGCTTAGTACTTAAGTAAAAGTACAAGTATCCTGCAAAATATGTACTCAAGTAAAAGTAGAAGTGCTACATCAACAATCTTACTTAAGTGAAAGTACTAAGTACTTTTAAATTTACTTTAAAGTGTTTTTTAAGTAAAAGTACTCACACAATGGTTTGTCTCAACGTCTCGGGTGTGCCATTTTGTAAAAGAATAGTAGATATACTGACTTACGCCTCTAACGATGTCATTGCTCATAATTATTACAAGCAACTATACAGTATATGTGTATTGGAAAGTTTGGTGTGCTTATTGTGCGTGCACTCTGCAATACTGTGTGTACCATAACTTAGAATTATGTGGATGACAAGTTATCTACTAGGTATTACCCACTAATATACCATTAAGATAAACCATGTTGAATGGGTCCATGTTGTCTCGTCTTCTTGAAATCAAGCCAGTCTACCAGCTCGTGCTGCTAACTGGCGCGCGCTCTGCCATCACTGGAGCTAATAAAGCCACCTGATTGGTAGGAAATGGCAAACAACGACAGAACGCGATAGGCTAACTATTTTTTCATGCAAGATTTTGAGGAAATTGTAACGACTAACGGCATAAATTATAGAAATGTAGTGGAGTAGAAAGTACAGATAATTGCCGCAAAATGTAATGGAGTAAAATAAAAAGTATGCATTATTATTTTTAATAATACTTAAGTAAAGTACAGATACGTAAAAATGTACTTAATACTTTGTTACATTCCACCACTGCCGTTAAAGAACAGCATGATTCAAACAAGGTAAAAGGGACTGCAGAGATGAAGAGGTTCTGCTTTTTAAAAAGGATTTTATCAAGTTCCTGTTGTTTCTTCTAATCAAAAAAAGTCCTTGATCAATGTAAAATACTTTTTGTTCGTTCTCTCTTTAACATATTACCAAATAAACGGGAAATGTTTGAAGCTTGGACACACATAAAATGTTTCCCTTAACAATCCCTTGATAATACTTAAGAATTAAAATTGAAAGCGTATCAGCTTTAATAAACATATTTAGTACATCTTTCATAAAATTACAGAAATCCAATTTCAAATATAAATAATGAATGCAATAAATAAATATGAAATTTAAATCATTTACATGTGTGTGTTATACTTAAGCTGGATACACACCAAGCTGATGGCAAAAGGCTAAAGGCTAAAGGCTAAAGGCTAGCGCCAAGCAAGACCGTCTGAGGATCGGCTCCTGTCGGTTCCTGTCGGCTCCTGTGATCATTTGCACGGGAGCTCACCGTCCCGCCTGGACGACAGGCATACAGTACAGCGCCTCTCCTGGTGACTCACCATGAACAGGTGCTTGTGGTTCTGGATGAGCTGCAGAGTGACAGAGATGATGGCGGTGCTGTCCTCTATGCCCGCGACCTGTGGACCCGGGTCCTTCTCAGAACCCCTCTCCTTCTGCAGCAGGTTGGGCCCAAATATGACGGCCAAGTTGGCTGCTGTCATCTTGTTGCCGGGGACCTGTCACATAGACAGGATGGGTTATGAAGGCTGGTGCCACAAGACTGGCATGAAGGAAGCGCAATGAGGAGCCTGGTTCATGATCCAAATACAGTGACATAACAGCTTGAGCACAATATGCTCCCTTTGATTTATTTCATTTATTTTGGATAAGATGTTTTTTATCCAAGCAACATACATTTTGAGAAAACGGAGTCAACAAGTGTCAGGAGTAATGAGGGCTAGGGGCCTCGCTCAGGGGCCCAAGCGTAAAGTGCCGACCACAGGATTTCGATTACAGGTACAGTGTTCTAACTCAATTTACCACACACTGCCCTTATCCTTTTGCCCTTGTTCCTAACTAGAATTAAATACTTTTTGGAATAGATAAATAAAAAATTTGATTTAATGTCATTGAAAATCACAAAGATTTAAAATTTAACAAAATCATTCGATCCACAGGTCAATCCTCTAAAGGTTTATCTGGAAAATCACACCAAAAGCTTCCTGGGAAATCATGGAATTTGTCTCCATGCATGCATCCATCCGTCTTTCCATCCATCTGCTCACACATGCATCCATCCATCCTGAAATCCATCCACGCGGGTGTGCGGTGCGACCTGCTGCGTGCCGGGGCGGGTGCCGTCCTGGGCGTGCTCATGCACGGTGTGCAGCAGGGTCAGCAGCCGCAGCAGCGTGTCGCAGTTGGCCGGCGGAAGCAGGAAGAGTAGCAACTTCAGATAGAGGACCTGCTCCACACCCTTCAGGGCTGTAGGGGTCAGAGAGAGGGGAAGGTCAGGGGAACCGTGGGCAGCCTGCAGGGGGCGCTTATCAGCTGCAGATAGAGGACCTGCTCCACACCCTTCAGGGCTGTAGGGGTCGGGTCAGGGGAACCGTGGGCAGCCAGCCTTTCAGGCATGTTCAATAACAACAATATTATGAAACAGTTAGCATTGTATGGTGTATGGGTTAGCAGAGACACATTAGCCACTGTGACCTCTAGCTTACTGTCTGAGTGCATTGAGCAGAGACAATGTAATGTTGGTAAAATGGAGTTTATGAAGAGGAGAGCAGAGAAGAACAGAATGGAACAGAATAAAGCAGAAAAGAACAGGGTCAGTGGGCCCCTTGCTATTTTGTATGGGGGGGGGAGGGGATTTGGTAAGTGTGTTATTTTATAATACGGAACAATCCTGTACAATATAGGACGGGTGACCACTCTATGTCTTCAATTTTATGCCTAAAATTGTATTAAATTAGGTTAGTCTAGGTCCCTGTTTACTGGAGGCCCCTGGGCATTAAAGCGCCCCTGTGGATTAGCACAGGTTAGCATGAAGCTAACGGCTCAAAGCCAGATCAGGACTGTTAATCTACATGGTCGCTTCCAGCTGCCTGTGTGATTTACCAGCGGTGAGTGAATCACCTGAATTGCAGTGAGAGTGCGAAGGCTAAGAAGGGCGGCCGTACTGTTAGCATGGAGAAAGGTGGGGTAGAGCTCCGGGGGCAGTAGGGGGTCCAGCATGTCCCTCAGGAACTCCTTCAGCAGGGCAGCGACGTCGTGTACGCTGTGCTCCTCATCCAGGACCATGTCTGCACCTCGATCAAAGTCCTCACGAAGCTGGAGCGAGCACACACACACACACACACACACACACACACACACACGGGTCATTGTCCAGTGTGGAGCTATTTACATGACATCACACACCGTACAACACTGACCACCATTTTAACCTTGTTCTTGTTTCATATGCTTGTAGTGCTGTCAATGATGTTAAGCATTAAGCACAATAGGTCCCCCGTGCTGTAAAAATGCACTGAACTGGGCAACAGCAGTGAAACGAACAGAGATGGCAGCACGTACGGCAGGAGCGGGTGAACAGGGACGGCAGCGCGTACGGCAGGAGCGGGTGAACAGGGACGGCAGCACGTACGGCAGGGGCGGGTGAACAGGGACGGCAGCGCGTACGGCAGGAGCGGGTGAACAGGGACGGCAGCGCGTGCGGCAGGGGCGGGTGAACAGGGACGGCAGCGCGTACGGCAGGAGCGGGTGAACAGGGACGGCAGCGCGTGCGGCAGG